TGTCTGCTTGATGGTTTTAAGTAAGCCAAAGATTACCTTGCATCTTACCTTTCAACCCCTGCGGACTTCCATTATGTACTGTTCTAACAATCGATGTACCCAATCAGCAAATTATATTATCTATGTGTGTATTCCAAATATCTAGAGTGCCTTCCTTTTAATCAATTAGTCAACTTTATTTAACATTTAGAATGAGGAATTTCTTAATTCTCCTTTATTTAACATGTTCATTAAACATGCAGAAGAAAAATAAATAAAACAAAAACTATGCATATATTAAATAATTAATGTAAATAAAGATAAAATACCTAATATCCACATGTGTCATACAGTATGAAGGTATGTCAAATACACAGCTCAATGAAAATAAACAATACTTCGGAAAAGACAAAACATGACGGGATAAGGGACAGTAAGAAGAGTTGAAGTCTATACCACACCCCTATTCTCCCACCAAACCATCCATTTGTGGTAAGGCCTCTACAGTTGCAAGAAAAAGTATGTGAACCCTTTGGAATGATATGGATTTCTGTACAAATTGGTCATAAAATGTGATCTGATCATCATCTAAGTCACAACAATAGACAATCACAGTCTGCTTAAACTAATAACACACAAAGAATTAAATGTTGCCATGTTTTTATTGAACACACCATGTAAACATTCACGGTGCAGGTGGAAAAAGTATGTGAACCCTTGGATTTAATAACTGGTTGAACCTCCTTTGGCAGCAATAACTTCAACCAAATGTTTCCTGTAGTTGCAGATCAGACGTGCACAACGGTCAGGAGTAATTCTTGACCATTCCTCTTACAGAACTGTTTCAGTTCAGCAATATTCTTGGGATGTCTGGTGTGAATCGCTTTCTTGAGGTCATGCCACAGCATCTCAATCGGGTTGAGGTCAGGACTCTGACTGGGCCACTTCAGAAGGCGTATTTTCTTCTGTTTAAGTCATTCTGTTGTTGATTTACTTCTATGCTTTGGGTTCATTGTCCCGTTGCAACACCCATCTTCTGTTGAGCTTCAGCTGGTAGACAGGTGGCCTTAAGTTCTCCTGCAAAATGTCTTGATAAACTTGGGAATTCATTTTTCCTTCAATGATAGCAATCCGCCCAGGCCCTGACGCAGCAAAGCAGCCCCAAACCATGATGCCCCCACCACCATACTTCACAGTTGGGATGAGGTTTTGATGTTGGTGTGCTGTGCCTTTTTCTCGCCACACATAGTGTTGTGTGTTTCTTCCAAACAACTCAACTTTGGTTTCATCTGTCCACAGAATATTTTGCCAGTACTGCTGTGGAACATCCAGGTGCTCTTGTGCAAACTGTAAACGTGCAGCAATCTTTTGTTTGGACAGCAGTGGCTTCCTCTGTGGTATCCTCCCATGAAATCCATTCTTGTTTAGTGTTTTACGTATTGTAGATTCGCTAACAGGGATGTTAGCATTTGCCAGTAACTTTTGTAAGTCTTTAGCTGACACTCTAGGATTCTTCTTCACCTCATTGAGCAGTCTGTGCTGTGCTCTTGCAGTCATCTTTACAGGAGGGCCACTCCTAGGGAGAGTAGCAGCAGTGCTGAACTTTCTCCATTTATAGACAATTTGTCTTACCGTGGACTGATGAACAGCTTTTATAACCCTTTCCAGCTTTATGCAAGTCAAAAATTCTTAATCGTAGGTCTTCTGAGAGCTCTTTTGTGCGAGGCATCATTCACATCATGCAATGCTTCTTGTGAAAAGCAAACCCAGAACTGGTGTGTATTTTTTTTTAGGGCAGCTGTAACCAACACCTCCAATCTCATCTCATTGATTGGACTCCAGTTGGCTGACATCTCACTCCAATTAGCTCTTGGAGATGTCATTAGTCTAGGGGTTCACATACTTTTCCACCTGCACTGTGAATGTTTACATGGTGTGTTCAATAAAAACATGGCAACATTTCATTCTTGTGTGTTATTAGTTTAAGCAGACTGTGATTGTCTATTGTTGTGACTTAGATGATGATCAGATCACATTTTATGACCAATTTGTGCAGAAATCCATATCATTCCAAAGGGTTCACATACTTTTTCTTGCAACTGTACCTGCTTATAGAACTCGCACCTGTCATAAACAGATTTATTTTATTTAAACTTGTAATAAACCAACAGACACTATTCTGCAATACGACAAACATATTACTATTACATTCAAAATACCTTTATCCTCATTAGTTCTTCAGCATAGGCATCACCTGTCAAAAATGCCTACTGTCCTTTTATTGACAAGAAATCCTTTAGTCATGTGTTTTTTTTTTTTTCTTTAATAACTCATTCCCTTTCTCAGGAATCTCTACTTTATGTACCTTCTTTCCAGTGTTATATAATGTTATCCTACACGTCAAATTCACTGTATGAACCTTCAGCACTGGCTAATTGATACAATGTTATTCATTTTGTTAGCGCCCCTTTCTGTGATGTTAGAAGAGATTCTGCTTCTATTTGACTCTTTCTGTGCCTTCTTACCTCAAATACCATCTAGCAAACATAAACACAGTAATCAGTACTCCCTCTGCCTCTGTGGCTCTTGCGGTCTCAAACCATCCCAATGGGACATTTTTACTATAAATCTGTTTCTAGATCTGATCAAGCATTTATCTTGTATATCTCTTTCCTAGTATACACCAAACATTCCAACTCATCCTGGGTGCTTCTCTCACTTCCTCTTGTGCTGCCATCCTATATTACTAGTGGCGTCTGTCTTCCTTTCTCATTAACACATTCAAGAGTTACTCTGAGTTACTCTCAATGTGGGCAATTAGGGACCTCATGCAAACCCTTGATTACATGTTTTACCCTTTAAAGCAAGCAGCTCAAACTCTGCCCAACCAAATATTGCTGAACTGCAACTATCTATTGCATTCAACAAATTCTGGTATTTGTAGGCTACCAACATCTGGAGGGCCAATGTGTGAGGTCAATGTTTTAAACCATCTTTAAATTCATTATTTCTAAACTGTTGCAGCTCATTATTTAAACTTAAAGGACCCCTTGAGTCATCCAGGCCACTTCATCTTAATGAAATGGCCAGGGTGCAGCAGTTCTGTCTATTTAACACTGCAAAGTAAACTACTGCTGTTTTTTTGTTTGTGTTTTGTTAGAAACTGCAATGCAGTCTCAAATCCACCTCTAGTGGCTGTCTTCCCTGAGAGAAGTAAAACTCGGTCGCGTGACATGGAAGCCCCCATAGGGTAGCACTTTTTTAAAGCTTTCCTGTGGGGAAGCTTGGATGTGTGTATGGCATTCACATCAGGCACCCAATGCTCCTCTATGAGAAGCGTTAGATTGTAACACAGATTTGTTACCTTATGCCCCCCTTCTATAAAGAGAAAAACACCCTTTGCAAACTTGTTATCTCCATAAGGGTCCACATGTTGGCCAAGTGTACATAGTGCTGACATATTCAACAGTCACACCTGGTATAACTATTTCAAAGTTCCTAACTCTGAGACCAAAATGAAGTTCCTTTAAAATAAGATTATAGAGCGGGGTAGGCAAACTTTGACACGCCAGATGTTGTGGACTACAAATCCCCTTATGCTTTGCCAACATCATTGCTGCAAGAGCATTATGGTAGATGTAGTCCACTACCTCTGGAGTGCCAAAGGAAACCCCTTTTATAGAGTGACAATAAATAGATCCCTTCCAAATGTATCTATTTATTTATTTATTTTTCTTAACTGTTGATATGAGAATTAAAAGACCCTCAAGTGCACCATTTTAGACACAGTTCTATAAGTTGCTGTCATTTTTCATATATTCTCATTTGGTCCAAAACTTATAAATAAATGAAAAGAAAAATAATAAAAATGCAAATTTTGTTGCCGGAACAAAAACTAATCTGTGCAACAAAATGTGCATAAATGTGATATTTTTCTCGGACATACAGTATACTATAACAGTATCTTATAAATGATGAGCGCAGATACAATAATGTGTGCTTATATTTCACTTGGTGAGTTGTGTACTGAACATCCAACTGTAGTAACTTGCAAAAAGTTAGCCAAAATAGACAAGGATTTAGAACAGCTTAGAATTTTCTAAAATATTAAAGGAAACACCTAAACCAAAAAAATAAAAAAAAAGCAGCCAAAAATGGTGGTTAGATAGATAGAGAGAGATAATTGTATTTCTACATATGTAAAATTATAACAAGTATTCTAATACTGCAACAATATGCCACCCAAAACGAGTGTCCTTAATTAAAAACTTTTAGGAAGTGATTCTATTAGGGCATTCCACCTGCAGCACACATTGCACTATGCACACATCACACTATTTAAACTACCTAGACCAAAGTATATGCAAACTTTCCAATGCAGCCCAGAGATGGCTGAGCATAGCCACAACGTCAAAGCAAACATGAACATAGCAGACAGCATAAATCCCAGCAATCAAAGCCTGCAGCCATGGCAGTATAAATCCCAGTAATAGCAGCCATGGCAGTACAAATCCCAGTAATAGCAGCCATGGCAGTACAAACCACAGTAACAGCAGCCATGGCAGTATAAATCCCAGTCATAGCAGCCATGGTAGTATAAATCTCAGTAATACCAGCCATGGGAGTATAAATCCCAGTAATACCAGCCATGGCAGTATAAATCCCAGTAATGCCAGCCGTGGCAGTATAAATCCCAGTAACAGCAGCCATGGCAGTATAAGTGCCAGTAACACCAGCCATGGCAGTATAAATCCCAGTAATACCAGCCATGGCAGTATAAATCCCAGTAACAGCAGCCATGGCAGTATAAATCCCAGTAATACCAGCCATGGCAGTATAAATCCCAGTAATAGCAGCCATGGCAGTATAAATCCCAGTAATACCAGCCATGGCAGTATAACTCCCAGTAATAGCAGCCATGGCAGTATAAATCCCAGTAACAGCAGCCATGGCAGTATAAATCCCAGTAACAGCAGCCATGGCAGTATAAATCCTAGCAATAGCAGCCATGGCAGTATAAATCACAGTAATAGCAGCCATGGCAGTATAAATCCCAGTAACAGCAGCCATGGCAGTATAAGTGCCAGTAATAATAAAAGCATTGAAAGTAAAGGACTTACTGTGTAGTTGCTGTCCCTGGTGCTGATGGCGGGCCGCAGGAGATGCTCTATGCAGTCAGTGCCCGGCAGAGAGGAGCTCTTCTGATGGGTCAGCTGATGCCCACAGACTGCAGGAGCTCTCGGACTCTTGGTGCCAGCTTGCTGTGAGCTCCCATCCCTGCCCTGTGCCGCCCTGGAGTGGGGCAGTAGATGGTCCCGCAGGCGACGCAGGGTGGACCCGGGCTCCGGGGTGCTGGCGATGCTGCTGGGGCTGCTGCAAGGGGCGCTGGAGGGCAGGGAGTCCACGGCCGAGCAGCACAGGTTGGGCTGAGAGGATGAGAAGACCCTGTCCAGGACCTGCGTCCTGCGCTTTAACCCGCTCCACCGGATCATGCCCGGGATGACCTCCCCCATGGCTGGCTCTGGCTGCCCCGGCTCCCCTCTCCTAGCTGGGGGTGGGGGAGAGGAGCAAGGTGCCCCCCCACCACCACCACCGGTCTTCTTGGACTTCCCCAGCTGCAGGTTCTTCCAGAGCCGAGCCTGGAAGGAGGAGGCTGGGGGGCCCGGGGCCACGTCTCCTGGGGGCTGCTCCATCACCCTCCCCGCTGACCCTGTGCTCCGGGGCTGGCGGCGCCTGGAGGGGAAGCAACAGGACTGGAAGGACCTGGGAGGCTTCAGAGCAGACCAGGAAGGGCTGCAGCTCGGGGGGCGTGTGGGGGAGGGATCCTGGGGGTTCGCAGCGCGACAGGGGGTACCTGGCCCCTACTGAAGACTGTCCGGGGGGCTGCAGTGCTGTGTCTGGGCTGGCTGAGGGGTGGCTTCCTGGTTACCAACATCTCAGGGACTCAGAAAGGAGACAGCCATTCCGCATGGACCTGATAGTGTGTCCTGGTACAGCCTGCACCATGGGATGCTCTCAGTCCCTCCACTCCCAGCAGTCTGGGGCAGGTCCTCTCCACTCCCAGCAGCTTGGGGCAGGTCCTCTCCACTCCCAGCAGTCTGGGGCAGGTCCTCTCCACTCCCAGCAGCCTGGGGCAGGTCCTCTCCACTTCCAGCAGTCTGGGGCAGGCCCTCTCCACTCAGGTCCTCTCCATTTCCAGCAGTCTGGGGCTGTTCCTGATGTCCACTCCCAGCACTGTGGGGCAGGTACTTCTCTCCACTCCCAGCAGTTTGGGGAAGGTCCTCTCCACTCCCAGTAGACTGGGGCTGCTCCTACTGTCCACTCCCAGCACTGTGGGGCAGGTACTGCTCTCCACTCCCAGCAGTCTGGGGCAGGACCTGTTCTCCACTCTCAGCACTGTGGGGCTGCTCCTGCTGTCCACTCTCAGGCTTATGGGGCTGCTCCTGCTGTCCACTCCCAGCAGTCTGGGGAAGGTCTTTCTCTCCACTCCCAGCAGTCTGGGGCAGGTCTTTCTCTCCACTCCCAGCAGTCTGGGGCAGGTCTTTCTCTCCACTCCCAGCAGTCTGGGGCAGGACCTGTTCTCCAGTACTAGCAGGGAATCCCAGGGTCAGAGCCTTGTCCTGCTGCCAGCGAGGAACCACGTGGAGGAGGAGGTTGCTGTGGTTGCTGTCACCCTCCCGGGGCAGCCTGGCATGCCTTGCAGGGATACTGTGTTATGGGCACTGACAGAGAGAGGAGTTAAAGATCCCTGATTCCCCCACCCCTCCCCTTTTTTATGACGTCACTCCCTGTCACGTCGCACTAGCGGTATTATAGAGCTGGGTTACAGCATGCAGTGTGTGGGAGAACATTTCACTGCACTGCCAGGGCTGACACATTGCTCTGCTATGTTATAAAGTCCATCCATGCACACAGTGTGCAGCCTGCATGTGATGGATAACCTCTGCAGTACCATCTGTGCTGGGACATTCACTGCAGGCTCTGCTGCACTCCAGCTATGGTGGACTACTAGTCCCATAATACACAGTCAGCCAGAGACTATAAATAAATTGCAGTGTCTTCACACACTGCATATTGCTTTCATATACCCTGCACACAGTATTAATATATCCTGCACACAGTATATTCATATACCCTGCACACAGTATTAATATACCCTGCACACAGTATTCATATACCCAGCACACAGTATTCATATACCCTGCACACAGTATTAATATACCCAGCACACAGTATTCATATACCCTGCACACAGTATTAATATACCCAGCACACAATATTAATATACCCTGCACACAGTATTAATATACCCAGCACACAGTATTCATATAACCTGCACACAGTATTAATATATCCAGCACACAGTATTAATATATCCAGCACACAGTATTAATATACCCTGCACACAGTATTAATATACCCAGCACACAGTATTCATATACCCTGCACACAGTATTCATATACCCTGCACACAGTATTAATATACCCAGCACACAGTATTCATATAACCTGCACACAGTATTAATATACGCAGCACACAGTATTCATATACCCAACACACAGTATTAATATATCCAGCACACAGTATTCATATACCCAACACACAGTATTAATATACCCAGCACACAGTATTAATATACGCAGCACACAGTATTAATATACCCAGCACACCGTATAAATATACCCTGCACACAGTATTAATATACCCAGCACACAGTATTAATATACCCAGCACACAGTATTAATATACCCTGCACACAGTATTAATATACCCTGCACACAGTATTAATATACCTAGCACACAGTATTAATATACCCTGCACACCGTATAAATATACCCTGCACACAGTATTAATATACCCAGCACACAGTATTAATATACCCTGCACACCGTATAAATATACCCAGCACACAATATTAATATACCCTGCACACGGTATTAATATATAATGCATACGGTATTAATATATCCTGCACACGGTATTAATATATCCTGCACGTCGCACTAGCGGTATTATATAGCTTGGTTACAGCATGCAGTGTGTGGGAGAACATTTCACTGCACTGCCAGGGCTGACACATTGCTCTGCTATGTTATAAAGTCCATCCATGCACACAGTGTGCAGCCTGCATGTGATGGATAACCTCTGCAGTACAATCTGTGCTGGGACATTCACTGCAGGCTCTGCTGCACTCCAGCTATGGTGGACCACTAGTCCCATAATACACAGTCAGCCAGAGACTATAAATAAATTGCAGTGTCTTCACACACTGCATAGTGCTTTCATATACCCTGCACACAGTATTAATATATCCTGCACACAGTATTAATATACCCTGCACACAGTATTCATATACCCTGCACACAGTATTAATATATCCAGCACACAGTATTAATATACCCTGCACACAGTATTAATATACCCAGCACACAGTATTCATATACCCTGCACACAGTATTCATATACCCTGCACACAGTATTAATATACCCAGCACACCGTATTCATATAACCTGCACACAGTATTAATATACGCAGCACACAGTATTCATATACCCAACACACAGTATTAATATATCCAGCACACAGTATTCATATACCCAACACACAATATTAATATACCCAGCACACAGTATTAATATACCCTGCACACGGTATTAATATATCCTGCACACGGTATTAATATACCCTGCACACCGTATTAATATACCCAGCACACAGTATTAATATACCCAGCACACAATATTAATATACCCTGCACACAGTATTAATATACCCTGCACACGGTATTAATATATCCTGCACACGGTATTAATTTACCCTGCACACGGTATTAATATACCCTGCACGCGGTATTAATATACCCAGCACACGATATTAATATGCCCTGCACACGGTATTAATATACCCAGCACACGGTATTAATATACCCAGCACATGGTATTAATATACCCAACACACAGTACTAATATACCCTGCACACAGTATTAATATACCCAGCACACAGTATTAATATACCCAGCACACAGTATTAATATACCCTGCACACAGTATTAATATATCCAGCACACAGTATTCATATACCCTGCACAAAGTATTAATATACTCTGCACACGGTATTAATATATAATGCACACGGTATTAATATATAATGCACACGGTATTAATATATCCTGCACACGGTATCAATAATATACCCTGCACACGCTATTAATATACCCTGCACACGGTATCAATATACCGTGCACACGGTATTAATATACCCTGCACACGGTATTAATATATCCTGCACACGGTATTAATATATCCTGCACACGGTATCAATAATATACCCCGCACACGATATTAATATACCCTGCACACGGTATTAATATATAATGCACACGATATCAATATACCCTGCACACGGTATCAATAAACACTGCACACGGTATCAATATACCCTGCACACGGTATCAATTTACCCAGCACACGGTATCAATATATCCTGCACACAGTGTTAATATACCTTGCACACAGTATTAATATATCTTCCACACAACATTCATATATCCTGCACACATCATTCATACACTGCACACAGTATTCATATTCACTGCACACAACATTCATACACTGCACACAACTTTACAGACAGCACTTAATATTTACGTATACTGACCTCAACTCATATAAGCAAACAACATTCACATGTACTGCATACAGTGACACAGTTAGCACACACCGACTTAGCTAGCACACAGGGACGCAGCTAGCTCAGATTGTACAGGGGGGATTTATCAAAGTAAAAATCAAGTGCTATTCCTGGGCAAAGTGCCAAAAGTGGAGCAATTGCCATGGAAACCAACAGAATGCCTCTGAACATTTAACAGCTTGTACTCAAAATCGCATATTTGCTTTGATAAATCTCTACCTTTCATATTTTACAACTTTCACATGGATAATATGTATAATATGTATTTACAAAAAATAAAGATAAATGAGATGCGTGAATTACAGCTCTGCTAGGGTATGGCTCCACAGTAGCACAATGTTGTGTTGATCCAGTTCTATGACGTTGACCCCTCAGCAGTCAGTGTAGGAATACCAACTGACTGTGATCTCTGTTACTACAGATGTAAACATCAGTGGTCAATTTTACAAACACTCCAGAGCCACACTTTGCTTTCTAATTAGTGGCTTAAAGGGACACTATAGGCACCCAGACCCCTTCAGCTCATTGAAGTGGTCTGGGTGCAACGTCCCATCAAACCTAACCCTGAGCATGTAATTATTGTATTATTTTTGTAAACTGCAATAATTACCTGCTAGGGTTAACTCCTACTCTAGTGGCTGTCTACCAGACACTGGAGGGACTTCCGGGCTCGAAAGCGACTTTTGGTCGCCTAAATGACGCTGGACGCTATTGAATAATGCTTTCCTATGAGAAAATCCTAATGTGAGCACAGCCATTGCTGCGCATGCGCATTAGGTCTCCCCCACCGGCTGATGACGGCGGGGGAGGAGCGTGGGC